GGGCCTGGCCTAGCCTCTGAGTCAGGAGGCCCAGGCCCCGGTTCGCTCGCCCACCACGATGGCCCCGCACCGCTGAGGATGTGCGCGGTGTCCTCCCTACTCCGGCGGGTGCGGCCGCTGGTGAGGACCACCATGTCCTTGTGATCGCTGTACCTGCTCCCCCCCCAGGACCTGGGGCAGGTCCCGATCTCGGTGGTTGTATTGGGGGCGGGGAGGGGCTGGTCATAGATGGCGTCCAGGTGCAGGGCCGGGTTTCCTGGGTGCAGGTAGGAGATGGTGTAGGGGATGCCAGAAATGTGGCCCCCCGTGCAGTGCCCCTGAGCTCCCTCCAGACGCTGGCCGCCAGGAAGCCCCCGAGCTTGCTCACCACCTCCTGGCTCGGGATGTCGTCCACCCGCAGGAGCCCACGTCGCCCTCCAGAACGTCATGGCGGATGCCCTCTGTAGCCGGACAAGCAGTTCCTCTGTGTGAGGTTGGTGAGTGCTGGGACTTGCCGTGGGCTCATAGGAGGTGACCAGGCGGGGGTCCTTCAAAGAGCTCTGCACTCCTGCCCGCCGTCAGGACGTGGGCCAGTGTCTGAGGGTCTGAGGTGCCCAGGCTCTCCCGACTCTTGATGGCCTGCCGATGGCTCCCTGCATCCCCATCAGGCTCTCCGGGAAGCAGTAGTTACCCAGCACGACCTTGGCCATGTCCAGCACCAGGCTGGCAGGAAGAGGTGTGTGGGGCCAGCCAGGCCACAGAGCAGCTGGACAAGAGCAGGGCCCACCCCTCCTCATGGGGACCCAGAGGGGGCTGGCTCCTGCACAGAGCTGCCTCCTGCCTTGACCCTTGCTGCCTGTGTGGCTGCCTTCCTTCCTTGGCCTTCTCAGCGGCAGACAGAATGTGGAGCTGAGGCTTGGCTTCCACCTCCAGTTCGCCTTTAATCCCAGTTAATTCGAGCTCCTCAGCCCCCGGCTGGCACAGGCTGGTTTGACCCAGAAGGTATGCTGAGTCTCATCTTGCTGTGTCACTTCTGTGCATAATCATGGGAATAACGACCATTTATTCCGAGTTCCTGCCACATGCAGGCTCCATGCTGTATAGGCTGACAGTCTCCTTGCAAGTGGGGTCATTAACTTGCAAGTAAATAGCATTTCCCATTGCTTCTGGAACTAGATAGAATTCATTGGAGGCCTGGTTCTGCCGCTCTTCTCTGTGGCCTTACGTCTCACTTATTGTGTAATTAAGTGAGAAAATAGGCGTAAAGTGCTTCACAGTATCTAGCAAGAAGGAAGCACCTAGCTACTAATATGTTCCCCCTGTTAGATATTATCCTGTTTTTTAGCTAAAGAAACAGTTTAGTAGGTGGAGGTGGCATGGAGAGAAAGCCTGGGGGTCATCGGTTCACACAGTGCAGAGACCAAGTCCAAGGCCCCCATCAACTTCAGAGCTTGAAGTTTATTCCTAGGCCCTGACAGCTTCCAAATGACAGGAGTGGCATGTCTGGACCTCAGTGTGGGGCTGGTGAGTGAGAAGGGGACCTGTCTTCCCACATCTCAGAACCAGGGATTCCAGGTCAGAGGGAGTTAGCTCTGAGGCCTGAGGAGCATCCATTCTCCTGTTGGCTGAGAGCTCGGCCCCAGCCCACTGCTCACCTGAGTAGGACTTGGATCCCTGTGGTCCCAGGGCCCACAGGTAACCAGACCACTCCCTACCTGCATGGAGCACATGAGCCAGTCCCAGGTGATTGACTGCTGGACTCGCAGTTTCCCAGTTTCTGCTCCTTCACATGGAAGTGACGTGGGTCCTGTCTAGGACCTGGAACCCCTGCTTTTTCTCTGCATCCCTCCAGGGGTGGGCATTTCCCTCACTTCACAGATGAGACAACGATGGCTCAGAGACAACCACCACCGAAAGCATGGGCACACAGCCAGGCAGAGCACTGGGGGAGTGGCCTGGCTCTGCTCCTGTCACTTGGCCCGTTGTCTCCAGCACACATGTGGGTTGTGCAGCCAGCAGGCAGGCGCGCATGTGAGCCTCAGCAGGCAGCCGGAGGAGGCGGCCGTGGGGAGGGGGTCGGGCTTTCTCAGCACACTTGACAGCCACAATCTACTCTCTGGAAATCATTATCTGAGGATGTTTACCAAGTGGTTTATGAAGGCCAAAGCGGTCAATTAGCTAAAAGAAACATATTTTTAGCTCATTAGGATTTGTTTAATGCCCAAGTGACATATGGTCACACCACTCCACCATTTGCAGCCAATGAAGTGAGCCTGATTTATAATAATAGTAAGGCCTCCTTAGTCCCGGCTGGGAAGACTGGTCCTCCCGCTCCCCCTCCACTTGGGGAATCCCAGCTCTGAGCATGCATTCTGGTCTTCTGAGGACACATTTCCACATTGCCTGAGCCCAGGCACAGCCTCTGGACCAGGAAGGGTCGGGGCAAGGAACTGGAAGAAGTCTCTTTCTGGGGAAAGTGCTTCCCCTGGACTCTTATTAAAATGTGGGCTCAACATGGGGTGCCTGGAGCTTTGCTGCACCTGGATTTAGGCGTATGACCCAGAGCCTCACGGAGGAGAAACTGGAGTTTGTTGTGAGTCGCTGGGGTGACTGAGTTAGAGAGAGCCTGCAGGAGGAGGCAACCCGCCCTCCTGGGGTGTGGCCTGAGCTCATTGGGAGGAAATTCTGTGCCCAGAGTTCTCCATACTCTCCAGGAGCGAGGGATGTCTGGTGCTGAGGATAGTGTGTTGGGTGCAAGTCTCAGAATGAAAGCAGGAGATGCTATGCATTTCCCCACCCAGGCCTACCTGGCATGGCCTAGGGGCTACAGGGACTTGTGTGTGATCTTGGATGTTGAATTTGGACTGGGATGGAGTCGGAAGCCTCGGCCTCCCTTCGCTTGTACAGACAACCACATGGGCAGAAGTGTCAAGAGTGTGAGCTTAGGAATGCCTCCAAAACCTATGCCCTCTAGAGTAGAGACCTAGATTAGGTGACATGACTGCTCTGTGCTTTGGCTTCCTCAAGGAGAACCTCACAGCACTGCTGCAACAGCGTTCACAGGTAGCCTGGAGAATCTGAGAACTCAGTCGGAGTTGGTGCGTGTCAGCCTGTGACCAGAGCTCCTCTGTGAAGTTGGGGAGAGATGCCCCAAGAGGCAGGGGCTTCCCTTACGACCCTGAGGTACCAGGTACTTCTGAGGCCCCAAAACTTCCACAGATCTATGTATATCTGGAGGGTCTGTACACTTGGGAAATGCCCAGACTTGGGGTGCACTCCAGAGTGCATCCCACACTGACCCCGGCATAAGATTAAATGGCTCAGAAGGTGTGCTCTTGGGATAGTCAAATAAAGCATGCCTGACCCTGGGCAACCCAGGAAGAAGCAAGTCACCTGTTGCATCATGAATTCACTTTTGCAGTGGTCAGAGGCCTTATCTTTCTGGCTATTTATCCACCCACTCACATATCTATCTATCTATCTATCTATCTATCTATCTATCTATCTATCTATCTATCTATCTATTATCTATCTATCTATCATCTATCTATCTATTATCTATCTATCTATCATCTATCTATCTATTATCTATCTATCTATCATCTATCTATCTATTATCTATCTATCTATCATCTATCTATCTATTATCTATCTATCTATCATCTATCTATCTATTATCTATCTATCTATCATCTATCTATCTATTATCTATCTATCTATCATCTATCTATCTATTATCTATCTATCTATCATCTATCTATCTATTATCTATCTATCTATCATCTATCTATCTATTATCTATCTATCTATCATCTATCTATCTATTATCTATCTATCTATCATCTATCTATCTATTATCTATCTATCTATCATCTATCTATCTATTATCTATCTATCTATCATCTATCTATCTATTATCTATCTATCTATCATCTATCTATCTATTATCTATCTATCTATCATCTATCTATCTATTATCTATCTATCTATCATCTATCTATCTATTATCTATCTATCTATCATCTATCTATCTATTATCTATCTATCTATCATCTATCTATCTATTATCTATCTATCTATCTATCTATCTATCTATCTATCTATCTATCTATCATTTATCATCATCATCTATTCACCTCATGTTAGTTTTTCCCTAGAAGGTAATTGTGGACATTGTCAAGTGGTACAGCAAATATCCATGTGCTGTCTACCTAGGTTCTACCACTGATGTTTTATTACTCTTTCTTCATCGTACTTTTGTCTCTTGGGCTCCTTCTCTAATCCTCAAGCCAACCTATTTTTCGGGTGCATTTCAAAGCAAGTTGAATCTTGTGTTTATTTTAATCCTTTTTCTTTTTAATTTTTAAAGAATAAAAGTAAAACTTATTTTTACAAGTTAAATAATTCATAAATATGTCAAAATTTCCCCCCCAAAGACTTTCTAGCCCAGCAAATAGCAACAGATTAATGTGTTCATAGGTGGAAGCACATATGTAGAAAATCTACCTGCCCATCCATCCATGAATACCTACCCATCAGTCCATCTATCTCATGTCATTGCATAACAGTTTGAACAGTAATTTACATTTTGTTTTCATTTAGGCATACAGCAGAAACATCCTTCCAAGTTGAAGTATATGCATACAGTGTACCTTTTTAATGGCTGTGCAATAGTTCTTGATAATGTACTGATCCATCCCCCTGATGAGAGACACTTTAAGTTGTTTCTGTGGTTTTATTTCTTTCAATCCTCAAACAAGGACATGTTTTCATTAATTTTAGAGAGAAGAAGAGAGAAGAAGGGAGAGAGAGAAAGATCAATGGGAGAGAGAAACAATAATCCATTGCTTCCCATATGCACCCTGACCCACAACTTAGGTGTATATATGCCCTGACCTGGAATCGACCTGGAGCGGGCCTAAGCCAGTCTGGCAGCAGAGGCTCGAAACAGACACTGTGTGTGTGTGTGTGTGTGTGTGTGTGTGTGTCCACTGGGGGCCTGCCCCCAGCCACACCACGGAGGCTTGGAACAGGCGCCCCTCTGTGTTGATCTCTCAGGCTCCTGGCTGCACCTGTGTGTTGTTCTCTCCCTTGAGCAGCGGCTTGGGCAGGCTGGAAGCCTGGGTTGCTCCCAGCCACTCCTTGAGCAGTGGCCAGGGTGTGTAGGAAGCTTGGCTTCCTCCATTGCCAGGGGCAATCTAAGCCTCCAGCTCCATGGTCGCTGCCATCTTTGTTGGGTTAATTTGCATACTCACCCAGATTGGCTGGTAGGTGTAGCGGAGTGACACTAATTTGCATGCTTCTCTTTTATTAGTGTAGCTATTTTTCAGTACTTGTAAATTATATAATAAATGTATACTTTCTCTGTTGTTGTTCTTACAACTTGATGTATAATAAGCTGCCCATTTTGAAGTGTAGAATTTGGCGAGTTTTGACATATGTTATACACCCATGAAACTATCACCACAATCATGATAACATACCTTGTCCTCATCCCCAAATTTTCCTCATGATCTTTGCATCTCCATCTCCAAACACTATAGATTAGTTTGTATTTTCTAGAATCTAATCTAATAAAAGACAAACATGCAAATTGACCGTACCTTCGCTATGCCTTAAGCAACGCCCACCAGCCAATCAGAGTGACTATATGCAAATTAACCCAACCAAGGTGGTGGCCAGCAGCCACGGAGCTGGAGCGAGCAGGAAGCTTGGTTGCTCGAGTGATGGAGGAAGCCAAGCTTCCCACCTGTCCTGGCTGGCTCT